ACCTAAGATGGTTTCTGACAGGATCTCAGAGTTTTGCTGAGTATGGAATCCTGATTACTCCACCATTTCAGCTGAGAAAACAAAAGGCATCCCTCCGTATTTCCAGCCGCTCTCCAAATGTGTCCACCTCACTCTGGGAGCCCCGTCTCTTTGGTTGTGCCACGGAATATGTCCTCTGTGTATCAGTAGTATTGGCTTATCCTGGCTGTGACAATGCTTGGGCCTCCTCTTGACCAGTTCCCTGACCTGTCTCCCATTCCTGCTGCTGCTCTTCCCTGCCTCTTCTACCCTGGATTTTCTTCATAGTCCACACTCACTTAAATCTCCATGTCCCTCTCTAACCATCCTTCAGTCACGCGAAACTGCGCCATCAACACTTCATTGAGAGTAGAGTGGCAGAAATAGCCCACAAATTGTATTCACATTGAATCAGAAGTTCTCCTCTTTCCACGTCTGTACCTTGCAAACCACTTCACCACTGAAACGCATCCTACCCTTGACTTGTCATCCCATTCCCATCTTCTGCAACTCTCTTTATCTTTCTGGCTACTTCAGCTTTGGCCAGCTCTTAAATTGTCAGCTCAAGTCTCACCATGGCCAAGGAGATAGGCGGTCAAAAGCTGCTTAGAGGGCAGCATGTGGAGAGAGAGGCTGGGTAAACCAGCCAGTGCGGTTGGCCTAGCTGAGACATCTGGGTTGTCAGATTATGTAACAGAGGCTCTTGCTGAAGGGTTCAAAACCCCACGGCCTACGATATATCCCGGCATTTGGATGATGAAATCTAAGATGGTCTGAGTACAAAAGCGTGCTCACCACTGTGCCGGCCACGGGGTTGTAGAAGCGCTCGAGCAGCTGGACCACTGTGCTCTTCCCGCAGCCGCTGCTGCCCACCAGGGCCAGCGTCTGGCCCTTCTTCACCTCCAGGTTCAGCCCCTGAAGCACTGGGATGTCGGGTCGGGTGGGATAGTTGAACTTGACTTCATTAAATTTCACATTTCCTTCCAGCGTATTCTAAAATGAGAACAGTAACACTTAGTTTGATTGCAGAGTTATTGAAAACACAGGGTATAATGTTAATTCCTAGTGCCGGGTGTTGGAAGTGAGCTTCTATCATAGTTAAACTTCATTTCATCTCTGGAATTAAATCTAAAGAGGTAATGGTTTTGCAGCATGAATTCTCAATACAACACCAATGTATTCTCCAATACTAGAATAACTACATACTGGAAAGCCTAACGAACTGGATTTCCGTTTACCTTGGGCAGTATTCCTATCTCCCTGTAACTTTGTTTTATAAAAGTCATGGCAATTAATATACAATATTAACAATGATTGAAATCAACTCATTTAGGTCTTAGCAACAGCATATTTTTTTTTAAAATTAAAGCACCGATTTTATTAAATTTTCTCTTTGTGTCTTTTCATTGGGGAGTTATGGATAGATCAGCTGTCGGAAGAGCAGACTCACAGGCTTCAGGCCTTCCGTGCTGTAGCTGTCAATCTCGGGGATTTTTTCAATGATCATGATGATATGCGATGCCGACACTTTGGCTTTGGCATAGTCAGGAGCGAATGAACTGACCTGTCCAACTGCCATGGCACCAAAGACAACAGCTGAGAATACTCTGGAAAATAAAAGGCAAGCATGTGCAGAAAGTGATAGCTGCAGTGTTAGCACTGTGGCACATCTGTAACGAAGGAGTGATTGCCATCAGAAGGTCGGAAGATATAAACTCCGCCCCCCGCCCCCTTATGTGTTCTCATCAGCATGAGAGATGCTGCAAAATAGCCCCTTCAAGCTCTCCTGTTATCCTCAACTTTCTACAACATGACCTTTGCTAACACTTCCTTCTAAGAATTACCAATTTGTTTTCCACTTTTTGAACCCGGAGTGGCCTTGTGATATGGTTTCATGGACAGGATGTGGTGGAAATCACTGACTGTTCCCAGTTTCAAGTTTATGACTCAGCATATGTTTTGTTCCTTTATTTTTCTCTCCTTGCCTCTGGCCAATGAGCCTACAGCTCACTGCAGACAACACAGATCAAAACAGAGATCTACTATGCCCAACACAGACAAGGAGAACTGACCCAGAGACTCCAAGCAGGATAAATATTTATAGTCCCATGTCACTGAGTTTCGTTGCTGGTCATTACACAGTGTAGCTGTGGCAATCAGTAATCCATACAGTCAGTGTGGCTATATCCAGCCTTAGAAATCCTATGAGCCACGCAATAAAGAGAATGTTTTTTTTAAATACATGGCTATGATGCAACATTTTAGGAAGACACTGTATTCTTAACCTCTGGCATGGGACTCATAAGTGTCAGCAACTTCAAAAATCTTGGAGTAAAAAAATCATTCAAAAGCATGATCAAATTAATGTTGCAGTCCCAGGAGTGTTTAGCTTTGACCTTGGGTATAATGACACAAACCCGCTGTGAGACATGTGCGTTAGAAGGTGAATATTTTAAATCTTGAATTAACTACAGTGTGTGACTAAAGCAAATGCTTAAACAGGGCAGAAATGGTGGGTTAGCACACTACAGTGCTGGGTTTATCTGGCTTGGAGTGCAATGTAAACTCTAACCATATTGCACTATTAGGGAGAAGATCTGGCCCGCCAACCCCTTGGGAGCTCAGAAGGTTCACATGTCACCTTGATGACCAAACTGCATATTTGGTGACATCAATAGTGTGATTTCCCTCAGGCTTGTCTTCCCATGACCAAAGTATAGTGTTCAATGTTTGCAGAGATACAGAAGGAAAATTCTAATCCAGATCTTCCATTGTCGTTGAAAAATTTCTTCAGCCCCTGAGGAACTAAGAGTTAGTCAGATGCCTGACAGGCAAACAAATAAGGAAAAGGGGCCACTGATAAATAAATAACAATGATGGTAACTTCTGGATTCACCCTTACTCGCCTTCCCAAGACAAAAGGCTGGCAGGCTTTCTCTCCTCCAGCAGGGGCCCCTCATAGCTGACCAGTGCAAGCTGGTCAGATATGGTCAAGGCTGGCCCTGACATGTTTATGTAAAGCTGTGGGCTTCAGCAATCCTTTGTTTGTCTAAGCTGACTAATCTGTCCAGTCAGAAATGATGTAAGATGAACTCATGCAAGGCCACCATAACACTAAAAAAAAAAACAAAACAAGACAGAAAAACAAAAACAAAAAACCCCCAGCCCTTTAGGAGAAAGGGGGGTTTCAGTTTCTGAGTAACCTTCCTACTTTGGGGGGGTGTCTTTCTATGTTCTCTCTCTGTCTCT